AGCGAAATGGACTTATTTTGGTCGAGCATGAACGTTTTATCAGCTTTGCCAAGCTGATCCATTTCGCTCATTAGCCCGGGAAAAAGTGACTTCTCTAGAAAACTGATCGAAAAATCAAAATTCCATCAAGCCATGTCTATTGCAAGAAAATATAAATTATGAAGAAAAAAGGAAGCCAACAGCACGCAGTGTTCCCAAGCGGTCTCCCATCTAAGTACTAACTACGCCCGACGTTGCTTAACTTCGGTGATCAGACGAGAACCGGTGCTTTCAACGTGGTATGGCCGTTGACGGGTGGTTGAGAAACGTTTCAAGTACATAAGCTTTGCGCCCCATCGGTAGGTTACTCGATACTCAAAATTTATTGTTGGAAAAATGAAATAAAAAGTATCATTCAAGTCGCGGAAATACCAAAAAAGCTAGTTCCCCGAGGCTAAAAAACAAATTATACCTACATTCTGCAGGGGGTTGAGCAGTCGCGAAAACGTCAAAAATGCCCATTTTTCCGGTTAAAATCGATTTTTCCGGAAAACTGGAGGGTGATGGAAAAAACGGATGTCATAATCGAATTCATCGCCTCAATATACTTCAGAATCACCTCATCTCGTCCGAGAGGTATTTTTGTCGTTTCTTTCCTTTTTTTTTTCTTGCACTGATTGATACCAGCCAAAAGTTTACATCCTAGAATGCTAGAAAAAAAAGGTACGTTTTTTTCTACTTTAACCATAAGATCCGTTTATTCGACCCATCAACACAAATATATACTCATCGATTTATAAAGGGCCTGATGCAAACTAGAAATCGGCCGAAACGGCTTAAACGTGACGGGAAAAGTAGATTTTCCACGTGCTGATCAATGTATCTCGAAAAAAGCGACTTGCCAGTATCGACATTTTTCTCCCTTAGCACATATGACAAATGGTACTCTTCATAACGTTTAAAAACTAGTCTTTTTTTACCAATTGTTCACATTTAACGGCATTTATGGCAATTGTTACTTTCTTAATTTCTGATCGAGGGTTATGCAAAAACAGCGATACTTATTCTCCGATCTTTCTCGAATTTTTAAATTTTATTCCCTAGCACATGACGCACATTTTTCCGAAAGTTCAGTACACATGATATTTAACTTTCGAATTCAGCACAAATGCTGATTCCTGATTTACACCCGAGAACCCCGACGGGCATCCCGGGGCACAGGTACAGGTACAGGCAGCTACTTTGAAAATACCCAGTTTCGAGGTATGTATTTCGATTGAGAAGATACTCGATTACCGTATACTGTTGATTCACCTATTCCTCGGAATACCAGACAATTTTCATCAAATCGGCGTATCGTCGAAGTATGCGTTTACTACGTGAGTAATTTTTGATCCATGGTGTCGTTATATTGAATTTCCAACAGTCAATGGACGTCTATAACCAAAGATTACGGTGACGGTGTGCAATCGTTTGAAGCACGCCGTCCGGCCGGGAGAAGTCCCTAGATAGGTACAGGGATTGGTGACTGATTATGTGCCCGACTTTCGTCAGGCATTCCAAAAATTAGATTAGACTCATAAATTGACCCTCTCCACGGAAATCTTTAGTAAAAGGCGAAAGATTTATGCGATTTGAAGAGAGTCAAGAGTTGGCGGTGGAGGCATCGAGCGAGGACCCCATTCAATTCATTTCATAGAGTCGGGCGGGGATACACACCGCTGTGGAAATCACGCGCCACCTACCGTTAAAGTACCGAACCAAGCAACCACCGTGTCATGATAACTTGTCAGCCTCGGTTGAAACTTCTTGAACGCACCATGCAGTGTTGTTTCCCCAATTTTTAAGTTTTTCTGTCAATTACTGTTACAAATTTAAAATTTCCTTCAATTTCTTGGAGGAAAATGTAGAAAATTTCATCGGGAAATGTTTTTCAAGGAGCATTGAAGGAAAATTTCAAATCATCAAAAAAAAAAAAAAAAAAAAAAAATCATTTTCATACTCAATGCTGAATGGGCTTAGTGTGACCGATTCATGAAACAGGCAGTCTTCCATTGAAACTAAATTGTAAAGAAAACGTACAAGTCACATTTCATCAAGTTCCCCACGTCCTATCGACACACCAGCTCATGCCAATATTGTAATTATTTATGAAATTAAAGCCTCTATTCAATGTCTTTGATGAAAATGCGACTAGTTGATAGCGCTAGACAACACTTGGATTTTTTGAGGCATCATTAATTGGACTATACTTTGAAATGAGGAACTATTATTTTTGGCTCATCCATAAAAAAACCTATTTGCATGGGGAAACTAATTAATAGCACACCTGTTTATTTCCTCCTAAAATGAAGCGGAAAAAGTGGCTTCCTACTTCCAAATGTATAGTCAAATTTTTCATCAGCTTACTAACTGGGTTTTCACTATGAGAGGGAAGAACCAAAAAATGGAAGCCAAATGGGCTGTTTAGTGCTTATAGAAGGATAATCGAATGCATATTTGATCAGTATACAGCCAAACGTGGATGCGTTCAGTTATTGACCAATTTTTCTTCGTCATTGCAGTGTCCGTTGAGACTTTGTTAGGGCCGTGAAGTTATCCGTCAAAAAATCATCGGGTTCCCTGTATTATTGAAAAAAAAAACAAAAAAAAAACGATAAAATCATCCTACCAATCCATATCCATATCAAGTATATAAAAAATATATTTTATGAGGAAAAAAGGAAGCCAACAGCACGCAGTGTTCCCAAGCGGTCTCCCATCTAAGTACTAACTACGCCCGACGTTGCTTAACTTCGGTGATCGGACGAGAACCGGTGCTTTCAACGTGGTATGGCCGTTGGCGAGAGAGGAGGAAACATTCCGAGTATATAAGCTTGCGCCCCATCGGAAAGTTACACAATATTCTAACAATATTCTAAATTGTATTGTTGGAAAAATAAAACGAAAAATTTCGTTCGAGCACCGAATAATTAAGTCTATGCCATTATTCTGAGTGAAAACTCACATTTATCTCCTGTAAGAAACGCTGCCGAGCTGCGCGCGCATGAGCTCATTTCGATCGATTGGTGAGCCACGTGGAACGTCAAGGTCATAGCTGAGGAAATCAGGATCGCCTCAGAAACTGATTAAATATGAAAGCACAAGTGATCAGAAAAAAAAATTTGGCCGATAAATTTCCAGGTAGGTGTTGCATCTGGCCCATTTGAAGTCCCGAAATGGATTATTTGGTCCCTGAAGTGCGGGTGGAGGGCCAAAAAAAAGATGAATAGATACAAGGACCATGGGTTCGACAAGGATAGAGATAGATTCACTATCAAGCGTGGATTACCAACTTGGGGGCTATTATTACCCTACCCAATACTAATTCCAAAGCTCTGAGAGAAAGACGGAGGCTGCTCTCAGAAAACTTCGAGTAGGGCTGCGAATTTTGCTGTTTCTGAGCGGCAAAATATCGCCAAGAAAGTCGTGATCAGAGCCCATGTATAAGCTCCAAAGCGACGCGCTTCGAAGATGCACAATTCATACGTAGTTGGCGTGCGTGAGTAGCGGGGAGGAGTCCCGTCGCGGCCGTCTGCGGATCAGCTCTCCCATTGGCCACTGCTCCCATTGTCTCTTTCCATTCATACGTTGCCTGATAGTATTACTAGAGGACGTTGCGGTATCCTAACGTGCAGCTCGTGTGCAAGTCTCGTCATTCAATTTGAACTGGGTCCGGCACGAGCCACTCCAACGGCAAGACTATACTTTACAGGATCATTTCTGTAGTTGCATAGTTCTTCCTACTTTCCAATCTTGGAGAGTCCCAACCCACGATGATGAGATTCGTCCTTTCTTCTGAGCGTGAGGCAGATATACTTTTGGCGTTAGCCAAGGGTATATCATCGATGATCGCACCTCCTTCGGGAGTCGGGAGAGAGGACAATCTGAGTGGTCATCATTATAATATATATTCCGTACATTTCACCCCTTTCAATCGCAGTAGTATAGGCACTTGGCGTCCTCTTCGCAGGGAACGTCATGATGTGCGCGAACAATAAGTAATTATAATTTTAAGCGCTTCGCCGACTAAAACCGCAATTATTAGAATTCTATGCGGCTTGCCTACATCACGCCGAAGCTCTTGTGGGAAGGAATTCTACCCTAACACATTGTGATGTGAAAGGGGCGGTAAATTTGGGCGACCTAAATACGGGCAGTCTGCAGTTGTTAGAAATAAGACGCCTCATAACCTACTTCAAATCAACGTATTCCTGTAAGTACTCAGGTCTGGCACCGCCCATCTCCGTTTAAATACTCACCTCCGGGCCGAGCAAAAATTTTGAACGTATTTGAGGGGAGGGGGAGGGGTGTGCGCGATACATTGTATGGTGCGAATGATAATTTTCGTTCTGGTGGGATATTTTGAAATTTAGAGTCTAACCAACGGTTAAAATTTCTCGGGAACCCAGAGCGCTTTTTAAATTGTAAGGCTAAAATTAAGGCACGGCATTCAATCATTGGTGGCCAGGGCCGGATTAGCGCTCAGGGGCCGGGGTTCCTAGTCTATATGGGCCCCGAATCCTAAAATTTAAGGGTACTGTGACGTACAAAAATCCAAGCTTTAGGGCCTCTCTAAATCTGTATTTTTGACTCCAAGGATCCTTAGAGGATCTGGAATTTTGTTTCGAAGAAAGAGGAGAGAATAAAGGAAAACGGAAAGAAAAATCGCCTCGGGGGCACTCACAGCACCTCGACTAATCGGGCCTTGCATGGAACGACACCTGCAGAGGTGATTTACCGCAATATTTGATGCATGGCTCGATGAAAAACGTGGAGAGAAAAAAAGGAGGCGGTCGCATTTCGAGGATTTCTATACTCCGTGATGGACCATAATACTGTCCGTTTTGTTGTCTGGGTCAGCTTAAAATCCGATTTCAAGCGCTTCATACAGGCTGACAACCTCCCACCTATAGACAACATTTTCAGTAAAATCGATGACACATCTTACCAGCGTTAGCAACGAGGATCAGGATGCCGGTGGAAAGACCGTCAGTCCGCAATGAGATCCATGGCGTTGTTATAAAAGGGGCCACAGATCAGTTTATCCGGGACAGCGCGAACGCAGTCCCGACTCCCAAAAATTACGCGCCCGAGGTATCTACATTTGAGATACTCGCAGGGGTCAGCCCAACCGGAGTGCAATGGAAGGGCCTCGCCCTGGGGGAACCGCCTTCTTGATCACGGTAGCCCCCACGCCAGGTAAGTATGAGTGTAAAGTGCGATGCTTGAGGTACCCACCAAAATTGAACCTCCCTCAGTCACCGAGTGTGCAAAATATTCATTTCGTGCGCATTGAGATTGAGTGTGAAAATGAATTAAATTAGCTGTTGCAACCGATTGATCATTCCTCCAAATTGGACTTCATTTAGCTCACCAGTCACAAAATATTAATTTCTAACTGAAAAGAGAATGAAACTGATCAAAAACAAATCACTCCAGCAGAGTGAGTCGTCGTGCACACGCTGTACTTAATCTGCGCTGATACGGAGATCGACCGCCAGGCAGCGCTCTCTCCCTGACGCGGGAGATTCAAACTTGATAGGTTCAAACTCGGCAAATAGTCGTGGCTGCCGAATCAGAGCCTCTTGAGTATCAGTTCCCAGCAACTCAGCATTCGATAATTAGAAAAGTGTCGGTTGACACACTTGCAGTATATGATATGATAATTAGATGTAGAGGACAAGGAAATTCGAAGTAGAGACGTCGAAAGGTACCGCATTCGGGATATCCAGCCTGGATAAAGTCCCTCACGGCTGCATTACTGTGGAACTTACGATTATTCATGGTATTCCTTGTGACACGGAATACCTTTAGGTTCCAGGAGTTTATTAAAGTTTAATTTAAAAATGTGATCAAATCGCTCGGCCGCAAAACACATCGAGAAAGTAATAGCTTACCTCGTTTCATTTTCTTGTTTAAAATATTGGATAAATTAAGTTACACAACGCTTTTTACGTGATATGATCCGAGACGCACCAAGCTCATTGCGTGCGAGTGCGACATCGACTGCCCACGCACGGCGGCGGCAGGCGCGAGCGCAAGACAAACGCCTTCATTTTCTTTGCATATGCAATACGGACATCCGCCGAGGCGGAATAGTTGCCTGTAGGGGCTGGACTTAGATTACAGTCGCGTCGTCGGCCTGGCTGTGCAGAGTCGAAAATTCTTGTGATCTGCGATCAGAGCATGATTCCTGAAATGGGCTCGTTACGGCAATGACGCGTTTAAGCACCTGTAGATGTAACTAAAAATATACCGATACTGCAATAAATCAGATACCACTGTTTTCAGGCCCGGTTCGACTTTTTGTAGAAGGAGCTTCGCCGTAACGGCAAACGTTTCCGGAAGAATCTCGTTCAGTCTCTCACAGGGTCTCTTAGTTTTCAACCCACTTTTCCTCTGAGATTACCGTAGATTCAATTATGAGTTTGCATATTTTCTTGCTTCAGAAACACGGGCATCGTGCATCGAAGCGGAATGGACGCGTGCAAGCGCTAACATCAAAAACGTTTCTATCGGACGCCTCCTTTTTCTGACTGCCCCTAGCGTAAAATTTCCTTGCGGTTAGCTTGCCACTACCTTGCTGCAAGATTTGGACCTTGCCACCCTGGCCGCGTCCTTACCAGGCCAGTTCGTGGAACTCGACGACCGGGAACAGTGGCGTAACGGACTTCCGCTGGGCCCCCCCGCAAAATTTTTTCTAGCCCCCCCCCCATGTCGATAAAATTCCAAAATTATTCCCCCCCTCCCGCCCCTTCCCATTTTTTTGCCCGAGATATCTCAAATCACGGACTTGGAATGCCTCACCCCTCACCGTCCCGGATCCCTTACCCGATTAAAAGGGGCCCCTAAAGGATCAAGGATCTAAAGGGTGGCAGGGGCCCAGCCCAGGCCCAAGGATCTACAGAGGGGCGTAGGCCCAAGAATCAAAGGACCCCCAAGAGCCTTGGGGCCCTTTAGGTTCTTGGATCTCCCAAAGCCCGAATTACGAAAAGTGACAAAAAAAGAAAAAAATGTTTAGTAATCACTGAGTGGACATTGGAAGGCAGGGGCCCTCCAGCAAACAAAAAGTTAGGAACAGTCCGAAAGAAGTATGAAATACCCCGTGCTAACAATAAAAATCAGGGGAAGAAGCCCCATCTCGGTAAGTAAAGGCCCAAAGTTTGAAACCAAAGCTAAGCATCAAAAAGAGAGAGAGAAAAAAAAAAATTCCGGCGGCTGAGGGCCCCCTAGGCGCCTGGGCCCCCCTGCATAGCAGGGTCTGCGGGGGCGCCCGTTACGCCACTGACCGGGAAGAAAACCACCCGACAACACTGTACTATGTACTGCCATGCCAAGGAAAAACGCCGTATGAACCTTCAGGCGTTGCCAAATTTCTTGTGATAAAATACGAATTTCTCGGGGAAATTGTAAATATTTTTCTTCCAATTTTTCAGACTATTTTGTTCGCAATTTAATCTAAAATATCTGAAAATTTCAAGGAAAAATATGGATTAATTTCGTCAAAAATACATGTTTTATTCGGAGAAATTTGGCAACTCTCGAATGTTCATACGGCGTTCTTCCTTAGCACGGCAGTGTAGACCCAAATCCAGGCACAGAAGCGGGAGAGAGGAGACGCCTCCTCGGGAAATACGCCAGCGGGCCGTTTATTGAAACTGATAGACAAAGCGATAGACAAAGAAGACATAGGGAGTATAGAGCGATCCTATTGGTTGACATGGTTGGTTCTTATAGACTAAGGAAGAAAATGATGGACTAACTGTCGGGTCTTTCGTGGGTTGCCGTTAGTTAGTCCATTACCTTACCCCCTATGCCCATTGCCATCACCCGCTTCCACCAATAGGATCCCTCCAAATCCCTTTTGTCGTCTTTGTCTATTGCTTTGTCCATATCGGTTTCAATAATCGGCCTGCAGCGGGCCGATTATTGAAATTAAAACCAGCCCGATAAGACATCGAATTGCGATATATTGCATGGTTAAGATCCCAGGGCTATGTCTTGTCGTGTCGGGCTAACAAAGTTTCAATAATCGGGCCGCAGGTTGGGTTTGATTCTAGTCCAGAACGTTGTTAAACATTTTTCCCTGTCAATGAGTTCCACGAACTGACGCGGTACGCTACTGCCGTGCTAAGGGAAAACGCCATATGAACATTCCAGAGTTGCCAAATTTCCTTCGATGAAATGTTTATTTTTGAGGGGAAATATGAATATTTTCCCTTTACAGTTTCAAAATCTTTGCGTAAAATTACGAACTAAATTATTTGAAAAATTGGGAGGAAAATATTCATAAATTTACCAGGAAATTTGCGCTTTATCACAGGAAATTTGGCAACGCCTAAAGGTCCATACGGCGTTTTTCCCTAGCATGGCAGGCGAGGGCTCGAAAAAGGAGGTGGTGCCAAAATCTTGCCGCTAGGAAGCTAACCGCAAGGAAAAAATCACGCTGTGGTGTCATACATCTATTTCTACTATCCGTTCCCCCTTCCATTCCCCTATCGTTAGAGGAAAATATGATAAATTTACGTGTTGGTAGTTTTTTTCGTAAAAGCTTCATGGAACTCGTTCAAAATCTTGCAGGGTCTAGGAAGGATAAGAGATGAAAAACAAAAGCAACTGCTAGAAAAGCAAGAGAAGGAGAAAGAAGAGAGGTACAAGAGAATCCGCGAGGAGGAAGAACTTTTGAAAAAAATCGCCGTTGAAAAGGCGAGACAATTGGCAAAGTTGGAGAAAGATGAGATGAAAACACTCACGAGTGCTCTTCGATTCGCCGAGGTAATACGAGAATGCTCCCATTGTAACTTTGTTTGTTCGTTCGTTCGTTTTTCGATTCATCGGATAAAACTTGCATCTTTTAGGAAAATTAGGCGTATTTTTCCTTGAAATTATCGGATATTTTAAATTAAATTACGAATAAAATCAAATAAAATTTTTTAGGGAAAATATTTAGATTTTTCCAATAAATTCGATTATTATTGAAGGAAACATGGCAACGTCTTAAGGTTCATACAGCGTTTTCCCATGGCACGGCAGTGTTGTTGGTGTTTCATGTATCATGCGACAATATTTTGCCCTCCTAAAAAAGAGCGCGGTGTATGGGGGAAAATTAAGGGCCAACCGAGAGTAGTTTTATACATAGAAGTTCTGACCGTACACATTTAGAGGAATAATATTTTGCCAAAATTATAGCAAAAATTGAAAAATGGACATGGGCAAGCGGCCGGGCTGTAAGACGCCATGTAATTTAGAGGTTGACAAGAGGTTCAAGTCGATTTTGTCTGAAAGTCTACTCATCAGCATTACTCGCACTTTGCTTTCCTTCAGAAGGGTAGTAGGGACTGCCGAAGATAGGCTGTAAATTTTGGAGACTGTTTACTCAACTTAAAAATCAATTAAATTAATACTCTGAAAATATTACTTGGACAAATATGCAATGTACATTAACTTCGTTGCTTTACTTATCCCTGAAAAGGTTTTGAGAGAGCGGCAGACTCAGATGGAGTTCGATCGAACGGTGAAAGCGCGAGAGGAGAAAAAAAAGAAAGAAGAAGCTGAAAAAAGGAGAAAGGAGGCGGAAGATTACAAACTGGAACTGGCAAAAAAGAAAATTGAAATGAAAGAGAAGGCCGAGAGAGAGAATGAAGCTATAAAACAAAGGTGAGTTCCACATACCTTAGAGGCATGTCCTGGAAGGACAAATACACGCAATAAATAAATCACACCCCCCCCCCCCCCCTCCTATTCTCGAGCTTAGAACATGATATTTTCCAGGTTAATTCTGATGAAATATGATAGAGCTTGGGATAAATGAAGATGTTAATGTTCATTATCTTGCGAGAATGTCACAAAGAATTTTGAAAATAGGCGACGCGCCGCGGTTGAAAAGGTGAGTGCCTTGATAGTCAAAACGCCTTCACTCCCGTGCGTATGCAACACGGTCATCCATGACGCCTAAATAGTTGCATCCAGGTGTCATAATGAAATTCGTCCCGTATTCATCGTATGCGACATTAATTGAAGCTTTGCTCGTTTCTCTCGCACCTTAACTTGATTCCAGCGTTGCCTGTTGTGTCAATAAATGTAACTGTTACTGATTTTCAATGCAACATTATCAATGTTGCAAGTAATGCTTTGATTGTTTCAATAAATAAGAATGCTTCCGTCCTTAAAGGTGAGCTTTGAGCTGCGCTCCTACCTTCTATAATCTGAGAGCGATGTACGCGGAAGAGGGGTGTGGAGGTGGGTTGGTAGAGAGGGGGTGGCGGAGGGAATGATTTGGGGGAGTGTTTTAAAAATCCGATTTTTCAAGTTACATACTTGATACTTATCCTCCGACAGGTTCAAGGAATATCAGCAGATGAGGAAAGAGGAGGACGAAAGACGCTTGGCAGAGGAGCTAGACGAAATTCACTTGATTCAAACAGAACTCAAACAAAAACAGGAGGAAGAAAATGCTCGAGTAAGTTTTCCTCAGTTAATTTACAACATTTTTCAAATAAGTTCATTCTTCTCAAGTTCCCACGAAGGTTTACGGTATCTGTATCTGCTCAGGCAGACGAGACATTTCGACTTAACTAGAACGGAGTCTACTCGTTTGAAATGTTTTCATATAGACGTTCGAAACTAATAATTAAGATCATCTTAAAATAATATTGTTTCGATTTGAATGAGTTGGCGCGGAAGCATGGGCGAAACTAAGAACTTTTCTCGGGACTGAAATGAAAGTTCGGAATTTGAAAGGGGGGTCCGAATGGCCTCCTCCGAAAAATTCTGAGAAATTGAGTCGTCTTAGGAGCAATCCTGAATGTTCTCACCGAAAAATGGATCCAATTACAATTTCCAGAATGAAAGATATGTCGTGCACTTACTTAGCAAAATCTCTCAAGTATCTTGAGAGGGACTAAATAGANGGGGGGGGGGGGGGGGGGAGGCGAATGATCGATTATCGATGCTTCTCCATTTGAAGCTATGGTAAAGAATCGACTATTAAGGTGTTCGTAGCGAACGCTCCGTTTATCGATCCTTTTCCATAGGTTTTAATTGGCAAATCAATCGCTATATCGCAAAGCATGCCACGCCGCTGTTGCGGACGACGAGGCTCGGGGAGGTCCTATCCTTCTTTGAATTCTTACTGGGCTGCCTAAAAAATTTCTCTCCTGGTTTACCTAGGATCAGAGATACAAAGTGAAATGTCTTGGATTTTCACGAATGGCGAAATTTTATTTGCCATGAAATTTGGACGATTTTTCAGGGACTGCGTATATGCAATCCGTATTAACTATCTTAGAATTCGATAAGAATCGTCATATTTGTTTTGTCTAAATTCGCAAAAAATTTCGCACAAAGAATAAAATGGGCAAAAGGGACAAACACGACGTTTTAAAAGAAGAAAGAGACGCTCTTTTAGTAAATCCTCGAGGAGAAAATAGTTTAGTGCTCATGTCTAAGAAGGGAGATCAAATGGCATCATCTAGATTTTGGGTACATAAAACAGTTCTACCCAGATTAGCGCGGACAAAAATGCCAGTGAGGCATGGTACCTACCCAAAATCGAAGTTATTTCATTCAACGACTGATTAAGAACCCTTCAGTAGTTCTATCCGAGCTGTATTTCCTAATGCAACCTGTTAATCCAGGATTCCCTGTTCATGAGTTTCCTGAATGAGGTATGCAAGGTCAAAAAGTCGGTATCCCTTCTTAGCAGAAAACATGATTTCACAAGAACGTAAGAAAAAAACTTCACACGCGCGAGCTGTGAAATAGTTTTGATTCAAGAACGTTCGAACCAGTTATTTTCTGCTATGCTTCAGGCCGCGGAGAGAAAGAAAGCACTGATTGCCTGCTGCGACGAAAACCGAAAGATGATGGAGGACCGTATAAATATGACAGAGGAGGACGAGAATGCCAAGGAGGCGGCAGTCTTGGAACAAGCTCGCAAGAAGCAAGAACGCGCAAGAGAGTGGAGGCAGCTGGAAATTAAGGTGAGTGAAATGGCAAGAAAAAATAAGTGGAATTGAGAAGTATATTCAGAACCCAAAATTCGGGTAGAAGGAAGGTAGAACATGGAATATTACCAGTGGCGTGGCGTGTTTTTCGATCTATCGGTATTTCTCCATTGGAAGCTGTTTTAAATGATCGATTATTAAGGTGTTCGCTGCGAACACCCTGTTTATCGATATTTTCCATGCGTTTAAATGGCAGATCAATCGATATATCGCAAAGCACGCCACGCCACTGAATATTACTGTAAATTTCCATAGAGGGTGATTCGATCGACATGAATAGATTGATAATTAAAAACGTGAATTGATCTAATCACGGTGTTGTCGATCGATTCACGGGTTTGTCGATCGATTCACGCGGGTTTGCCGATCGAGTCGCAGTCAATAGAATCGGCGTTGATCTAGTCGCTGTCGATCGAATCGGTGTCGATCGGTTCACCTTTTCATTTTTCGATCGAATTATGTCGATCGAATCCATGCATTCCCTCTGATTTCCTTTAATAATAATTTTAACACACCAAGAACAATTTGCGGAGACACAACAGTAATCTTCTACGCTTAAACGGTCGTATGTCACATGGATGCACGGTAGAGCCTTATATTTTGGTGAACGTCTTGATGAAACAGTGATATCACTGTTCTAACTACGTGTTGTGTGTGTGAGTGTGTGATAAGTGTGTGATATCATCGCGTCCATTGGAATGGTACTGACTACTGAAAGCACAGCTATGCTTGTGAGCATGATAATGTTAATGTGCCCATCGATAAAACTACTAAAAGTCATGGTTCTACTACCGGGTGTGTTCTCGAGTGACTTGCAACCATGTAACCTTGGGATTTTATTTTATTCTCCTCCGCGTTCCATCCGAGGGAATGACAATTAAACGATCTTTAAAAATTCGCTCGGCCATTAAACGGTTACGATAAAGTGTAGTTAAGTTGAATCTGACGATTCACAGAATGCCACATATGAATGAGTTGTTTTTAAAAAATGAGAACAAATCCACCCTGGTAAAAATTGGCAATAAGAGCTGCGTTTCAAAATACCGTAGGAATTCTTATAGCCGGCTAAAGAAGGCTACGGAAAATCATATACCTGGCTGTAGAATGCGGAGAAAATCATACGGCCGGGCATACGAAGCGATAAAAAATTATGCTGCCGGGCTTTACACTTTATCGCCTGGCTGTTGCTTTTTCGCCATCGATTATAAAAGGTCACAACTGTCACAAGAAATTGTGTAGAAATCCGTGTGCTTTGGAAATCATTAAGTTTGATACGGAAACGCCTTAATATTTACAAAACACACGTTATATTTTCCTTTAATACATATTTTTTTTTTTCAGCAATTAAAACGAGAGTAATCCATACAGGATGTGCAAACATTTCAAAATCATGAGTTGAATAACGCTGACTCCGTCAGATTAAATATTAGAGCCTGACACACAGCGGAGCGGCGACGCACTGGCGCCTACAAACCTAACAGGGAAACTTCACGCATTGCGCAACGCGTGAAGTATCCCTGTTAGGTTTGTAGGCGCCAATGCGCGTTTCGTGCTGGCTGCCCGCCTGCCGCACCGCAGCATGCCACGGCGCTTGAAGCAACTATTTCACACCAGAGGTATTGCACAGTATCATACGAAACTGAAGGCGCTCTAATATATTAGGAATGACAGGCATCCATCAAAAGTACGGAGCTTTCCTCGCAAAATAAATCAAGATACTACGGCCCAAAAAGAGAGCAGTGGTCCAAAAACTCACTAAGTCCTAGCATCCGTAATTAGTGACGTTTAGCATACACTTTATCGCCTGGCTGTGAGTTGCTTAGTCGCCATCGGCTATAAAAGGCTATAAGAAATTGTGCATCCGGCTATAGAAGCTATTGGAAATCTTACAGCCGGCCGTAAGTCTATGGTATTTTGGAACACAGATTCTACTGCCAATTGTAACCAGGGCACTTTCAAAATGAGCCCCAGGATGCTAATATGCTCATACAGCCCAGGACTCATCTGGAAAATGGACTTGGTCCCTTTTATAAACAACACGTCAACGGCGTAAGACCAAGACCACGTCTCTCATTTGCGGCGTTTGAAAATCTTGGCTCCTATTTTATTTTTTCAAAGGAGAACAAATTGACATCATTCCTTGAAGTTTCTGCAGAATTTTCTTGGAACTGAGAGGAAGAATCACGGCAGTTTTTTTAAGAATCGTTGTTGAGTAGTTTCTCATTTAAAAAATAAAGTATGACAGGAAGTCTGCGACGTCGGAAACCGAGACACGTGGTTGCGGACTTACACCGTCAATACATTCATTTACTTTTAAAAAAAGAAAGAAAAAGAAAGAAAGAAAATTAAAATAACTTTGTTTTCGTCTTCTATTTTTTTTTTCAAAATTGGAAAATGTGCACAGAAAGTGCAAGATAAAGTAGCGATAGCGGAGAGAATGTATGAAATGGCAGCAACTGCGCAGACTTCACGGGACGAATTCAACGAAGAGGAAGAGGAACGGATTAGAACAGCGAAATTAATCAAGTAAGATTTTTGTTGAGCTTTCTTTTAGCTTTCTTTAGAAATTCGGGATAAGAGCAGAACTGATGCTTCCCATTTTTCTCTTTTCACCAATTAAAGGAGGTCAACAGATTCGTGGATGTGACCACGAGAGAATACAACATCAATGAACTCCGGTTCTTGATCAAAATAATAACACATTGAGATCCCTCCCCAGGTGCGGATACTTTACATATTAGCCTTCAAAATTCCGAGTATGCAACCCCTCGACGGTCGTGCTCGAATAGTTATCGCTCGGAACGCAAGGAGCATTTTAAAGAATGCCTCCGTTCATGACTGGTAAAACCCAGGCTCAAAAAACCTGACAAAAGAGGCGGTATTCAAAGAGTTTCAAAACATAGTCAACACTGGAAAAAAAACACATTGGATCTAAAGTCCAGATTCTTGAAAACATTGACAAGAAAAAGGACTCTTGATTCAAGCAGATTTAAGCTTTATTCAAAAGAAAATCCGCTCAGATTAAGAGGCTTGGTTCTTGATTTAAGCTTAAATCTGCTTGAATCAAGAGTATTTTTTCTTGTCGATGTTTTTAAGAGTCTGGACTCTAGATCCAATGTGGTTTTTTTTTGTTTTTTTTTTCCAGTGAAACATCATGAAACTTTAATAATCCCCCACTGGCCCACTTGCAGCGAAGCCTTTTTATAATCGCGAGTTAACCATAAGTTTTTTCGTGAAATTGTACACTAGGAAAACTGAACGGTCTCCATGTCCCTTTTGGATGCAACATCCTCATTCCACACTTCCACAGACAGCGACGAAGCGTGAATGATCGATCATCGATATTTCCCCAATCGAAGCCGTGGTAAAGAATCGAGTGACAAGGTGTACATTGCAGTGGCGTGGCGTGAATTGCGATGTATCGATTCTTATGCCATTTAAACCTATGGTAAAGAATCGATTATCAATGTGTTCGCTGCGAACACCCTGTTTATCGATCCTTTTCCATAGGTTTAAATAGCGGATCAATCGATATATCGCAAAGCACGCCACGCCACTGGTACATTGCGAACACTCTTTCTATCGATCCTTTTCCACGGGGTTTGCAGGCAAATAGCAAAATCAGGCATTTTGTCACATGCCCAGGCAAATAGTCAAATATTCCAACTTAGATTGAAATTCTGCTTCTTTTCCTAATTTCAGACAAAATAATTCATTGCTCCAGCAAAAAAAAAATTCTCAGTAAAAATTTGCACAAACAGTAGTATTTTAAACAATTTTTAGCTCCTGAAGAGACACTGATCTTGACATTTTCAGCAAGTCGTAAAGTACAGAATTTTTGGAATTTCAACATTTAAAAATACGTGAGGCAATTGAAGAGGAACCCTGGTGAAAATTAGCGATAGGAGCTGCGTTTCAAAATACCATAGGGATTCTTATAGCCGACTGAAGAAGGCGATAGAAAATCATATAGCTGGCTGTAGAAAGTGGAAAAAATCATACGGCCGGGCTACACGAAGCGATAAAAAATTAAACAGCCGGGCTATAGTTCCTGTCGCCGTGCTTTACACTTTATCGCCTGGCTGTTGCTTTTTCGCCATCGGCTATAAAAGGCTATAAGAAATTGTGTAGAAATTCGTGTGCTTTGTAAATCCTTAAGTTTTTACGGAATAACCATTACAATACAAAACGCACATTATATTTTCCTTCACTACATATTTGTTTTCATCAATTAAAATCAGAATAATCCATCCAGAGTGTGCAAACA